GGGGGGGGTGAGAGGCGGGGACGCTCGGTGCGGCCAGCCCGGGTCGCGGCGGCCGGGGGCACCGGGGGTCCCGTCTGCGGCGTTTCGCGCGGGCGCACACGCGTGCGGTGGGTGCGCAGCCCTGCGCCCTTCACCCGGGCAGCCCTCAGCGTCGCTGCGAACTGATACGTGCGGCCATGAAACCCAGCGCCGCGTTCTCCTCCGCTGCCCTCTCACCGACCAGGTGCTTTCAAAGAAACCTCCCGCCGCAAGCCTGCAGGGGCAAAGGCCGCTGCAGCGGGAGCCCCGCTCGGCTCCGTTACGGGAGGGAGCAGAAGTTGACACCCAGGCGGAAAGCCCTGCCCTAAGCCCCGGCTTTGGAGCGCGTTTCTGAACGTCCCGCCTGAAGCCCTTCCGGATCCGCGCACCCTTTGGCCGGGTGTCCGCAGGTCTAGAAAGGATGGGAGCCTTCCTGCCCGCTCTTGGGCGTCCCTTGGGGCGGACAGGATCTCCCACTGGAGGAACGGGGGGCGGCGGAGAGGACGCGTGGCCAAGCGCGGCTGCCCGCCCTGCCTCCCCCCGAGCTTCGCCTCCTCCCGGTGCCCCGGTGGCAGCGGAGCCTCGCCCCACGCCCCGCTCCCGCCGGGCAAGCACAAAGGAGCCGGCGGCTCCCAGCACCAGGCGGGGTATCCCGGGGACCTCGGCCGCCCCCGGCGCCTCCTTGCTGGAGTCGCAAGGCAGTGGCAGCACCCCAGGGCAATCCCGAGAGGAGGCGTCTGTCTCCCTGCCCCGTGTCCGTCGCTCCGGCTGCCCCGGCCGCTCTCTCCAAAGAGCGGTGTGCGGTTGCGCTTCCGTGCGGGCAGGGGGAGGACACCTTCCCTTCGCGGGGGGAAGCGCTTGGCCACGCACTGGGAAATTTGCCTTGAAGAACCAAACGAAAAGTCGCATTTTTCTACCGCCGTTTCCCAATTCGCAGCTTGGAGAAGGCTCCTAAACTTCCAGGGACCCGTCAAAATGTTCTTTCTGCTGAAACGCAGCTTCCCCTGGGGCGAAAAGTTTGAGGATGGCAGAGATCCTGCAGTCTCTTGCCCGAGGCGGTAACAAACGCAACCGATGGAGTCAGTCCCGCTGCTGCGCGGCTTGCCCTTATTTCGATTTGCTAATTGCAAATCTCGAAACATGGGTATTGTATCCCTACAAAGGGGGTTACGCATAGCGGTGTAAAAACTGTCCTGAAACCAGCCCTAACTTTCCGAAGGACGAAGCAGATTTTGAGCCACTCACGAAGAAGCTCTTCAAGAACGAACCGTGTCTCTGCCTCGCCCGTGCGTGGCAATCTGCTCCGTCCTGCCCGTGACGGCTGGCCAGGCGCGGTTTCACAGCATCCCCCAAATCACCGCTATTTTTGAGGATCTTTCCTAACCCGGACTAAAAAAAAAAAAAAAGTCGCTTCCGCAGATTTGTTCCCTTTGAAATTGTAAATCGGAGTTGCAATTGCGAACTCTCATCAAACGTAAACGCGTTTGGTGGCTCAGCCTGGCATTCGTCTGAGCTTATTTTAAAGCCGATGATTTTATCATTTAATCCACCGGCAGATCGCTTTGAAGGTGGAAACGAAACGAATAAAACCTTACGTTCAGATAGAGGACTAACGCCCCTTAACTTGTCTTCCGAGAGATTTGCAAACGCGCAGCCTACGTCCTGTAAACATATGGATGCAATAGACTCAGACGAGCTGCTCCTGCCCAGCCAGTCAATAACGCACGTTTTCGCTCACTGGGCTGGAGCGCGGCCAAAAGAGCTGCCGATACAAAGCGAGCGTTTCCTACACCGCCTAAACGCGGTGGGAGTTTGCCGGGCTGGCCCCGGCCGGGGGGGGGTCTCCGGCGGGGAAGGCCGCCGGGTCTCTGCCCGGCTGCGCAGCCGGTGCGCTGTCCGACGGGTCGCTTCGAAGGCACCGTTTGAAAACGCCCCAGTGCGGCACGAATTACCTGCGACGGGGGCCCAGAGAGCGATTTCCCTGCGAGCAGCCGGCGCATCCTTCCTGCAAACGCGGGGGACACCGGGGGGGGGTGGCCTGTCCCCCGAGCGCAGCCCCTTTGCCGCGCTAGAGGGTAGGGGATCGCCTACAGCCAGCGGCCTTGGGGGTGGGCG